TGTTACCACTCGGTGCAATGAGGTTCCCCTTGCAAGCAGACTTTGTGGTCTTTTTAGGGATGCTTTGGACATGTGTTTTTAATGTGGTTTATTCAAAGAGGGGGGAAAAAAGAGGAAAAAAAGGGGGGAAAGGAAAAAGGTTATTTATTTTTGAGAAAAAATTGTCTGTATTGAAGCATTTTAGCTGATCGTCTCAAGCTGCAGTCAAAATATATTAGGTAGAAATAAGAATAAGGATGTTAGGAGTTTTTTTGGGGAGGATATATTTTGTTTGATTTTTTTTTTTTGTTTCTTTTCTTTTTCATTTTCTTTTTTTTTTTCCCCACCTGGATGTAGACATCAAGGTTTTCCTGTCTGATCTTACTCCCTTTATTTTGCTGCTGGTTCTGGTGGCTGATAAACAGCTCCATGGTTAGGCAGAGCCCTGGGGAGCTCCTCTGGCCTCCCTCCCCCAGGACACTCGCCAGAGGGGAGGATAAACAAGCCAGCAGTACATTTTATTTCCATTTTGAACCTGTTAGAGTGCAAGGACACTTCTAGTTTGGGGCTTTGGGTTTTCTAGACAGGCTGTATTGTTTTTAACAGAGTCATGTATCAGCAAGCCTGGTAATCTGTATCAAGAAGGCACGTATTTTTTAATATGTAAATAGGAAAGGATGGTGTTTCATCTTTATTCCAATGTACCCAGGGTGGCAATAAAGCTTTTTAAATCCCTGTGAAACAGATTGTATATGGCAAAATTAATGTCTCAACTCTCCAAGTATTTTCTCTAAAATATTTGAATTTTTGCGTTTATTATGCCGCTTGTTTAAAATAGCGAGCGATATCAGCCGTGCATTCAAAGCTTAATTGGTGGAACACAGATTTATTCTAATTTAAAACAGTCACTTAAAAACAGTTTTGTATATATGTATACATGGGCACAACTTTTCATACAGTTGTCTGTTTTGGAGCAGTCTCTTAGGCACTGATGTACAAGTTGAACCTGTTTTCTTTTGTGCAACATGGCTTTGAGAAATCATTAGCTAAAACAGGGTTCTGTGGTTCCAGTGCAGTCAGTAAACAGCCTGACATGAGTCGTGTGTGAGATGATTGAAACTCTGCCTTTGATCAGGCCTGGATTGTGCCAGATACAGTCCCGAGGTGTGTGTCAATGCATGTGTGGATGTGTTCATGTGTTGGTGAAAGCTGCTTTAATGAAAATTTGGCCAAGTAGCAAAACAACCTGTTCATCAGTGATTGCCACAGCAGGATGACGATGGAAGAGCAGCAAAAGGAGCTGCAGCCATGTGCTCATCCATGTCACCCTCCCCAGGCAGGGCATGGCTATCTGGAGGTGCTCGGGGTGGTTCTCCTCCTTTTTCAGTCACATTTGTCGTTCCTCTTTATTTCCTCAGCCCCTTTCTGACTTGTCCTGCTCTTTGCCATCATTTTGTAAGGACTTTTCCTCTGCCGCCTGTTTTCTCCTTTAAACTGGGCTCTGTCCTGATGGCCTGTGTGGTGCTGGGGGATGTTTGCAGCTCTGGGGTTTGGTTCAGGGCGCCTGGCCAGATCTGCGTGGCAGTCCCTGACTCGCTCTGGTGGAGCACGGGAATTTCTGATACTTTCTCATTTTGCAGCCGCTTGCTGCTTTCTCCCGCTGCACCTCTTCTCACTGCCCTGTGCACGCAGGGAAGCCTCTGCTGCCTCTCAGGTGTGTCCTGCCCTTTGCAGAGCCCTCTCACCCCAGGCAGCCCTTGGCGTGGGTGGCTCTTGCAGCCTGTGCCACCCAGGCGCTGCTGGCTGTGGTGCTGCTCCTCTGTAACACGAGCTCTTTGACAGCTCAGCGCACCAGGAACTTCAGTGCAGCCAGTTCTGCAGTTTAACGTAGGAATGATGCTCTGGGTTCCTTAAAAGCCACAAGAACAACTGGACCCCAGGGTGGAGATGCACAGAATGGGAAAGGTGAGGGACCTCATGCTGATGAGATGAAGTCCACAGCGATCTGCCTGATTGTCTGAGCTGTGTGCCTCTGCCTTTGAGATTTAAATAGTGCAATATTAAAACTTGTCTTTCAAATCTGCTCAATATTACAAAGATTAATTTTTGTTGGGGGCAGATTAATAGGTTTCCTATTCTGATTAATACAGTGATAATAAAAACGTTGTGATTGCTGGAATTAATGAAGCCCAGATTCCTGTTTCAAGGTTTGATTGACTTTGTACTTCAGTTGTGCTAAAGCTGCTGCATCTCATTGCCCCTTATCGAGCTGGTGCCTTCGAAGAATCCGTATGGGAGCAGGGCAGTGCAGAAGGTTTGTGTTAGAGGGCTGCATTGGAGGCCCCGTCAAAAAAAATCTTTTGGGGAGGGTTTGCCAAAAATTGGTCAAGGGTTCTGCTCATGTTGCAGCAGTACTAGAGTTTCTGTGTGCTTAACCCAGCATGCTATTTTTGTGAAAGTTGTGGAAGAGGAGTGGCCAACTCAAATGTGTGGGCACATCATTAAAAGCTTCAATTTGTCAATGCCAGATCGAACTCGAGTGTGTGGGTAGATCATTAAAGGCTTGAGTTTATCAGAACCGATCTATAATCTGTTCCTCTCGCTCCTCCACCCTTCCCCCCAGCAGTATGGGTTGTTTCTCCAGGTTCTCCAGCACGGAGGTCCTGAGCTGGCTGTGTGCCCCTGGGCTGTGCTGGGCTCCCTCCTGGCAGGCAGCTCCTGCTGCCTGGAGCCAGCTGGCTCTTGGAGACAGCCGACCCAGTGGGTTTGGAGGCCACCAGTGGGGCAAGCCCTGGAGTTAATGCCGTGAGAACTTGTGTCTTTGGGAGCTCTCTGCTCCCATTAATCCAAGGGATTCCAAAGATGCAGGTGGGGCAGGGTGCAGAAAGTACATGGTGATCATGAAGGCTTTGTTCCCTTGGGAAACCTGGCTGAAGAAATGTTCTGTGGAGTGAGGTCAGTTTTTGATGGCGTAAGAAGCATTAATTTTTCCAGTTGCACTGTCAGAGTTCGGGGCAAGCTGGATGGAATGTCTTTGACTCCTCCCTGTACTGCTTCTTATTCCTCAGGTAGGAGTTCTCTCAGCTTCCAAATCTGCTTGTTGGCACAAGGGTGCCAGTATACTCCTTATGTTGAGAAGGGATGTGAGGAGTCATCTGCAGGTGAGGACAGTGCTTCTGTACACTGTAGCCCTCATCCTCTGCACACCACATATATTATTCAGACAATAATTTTGCTTCAAAAGTCTAGAACATTAATTTTTTGAGCAAGCATTAGCTAAAATGAGCCTCGATTCCTCATCTTCTAAAGAGGGCTAATGATACTTTCCTGCCCTACAGATGTATCATGGATAAAGATTAGTTGAATTCTGTGGTGCAGCAGGTCAGCTGGAGAAATCTTGTCCCAACATATGTAGATGCAGCTCTCTGCTCAGCTACAAACCCATCTGCATATCTGTCATCAAGCACAGCAATAAAGCAAGGCTTGGATGTGTGTTTCTGACACGACTCTGTTGCTTCTTTCAAGTGCTCTGCCCCTTATGAATAAAATACAACCAGTGCAAGATGCAGGTCACTTTTGGTTTGCAGGTATTTCAGAGTCTCTGAGAAAGAAGTAATTTTTAGCATAAATGCTGTTTAAAAACCCCTTTTTGGATCTATTTTTATTGTGTAGCACAGTTTTGTAATAGGGTCACATAGGCCCTATATTTAGATTTCTGAACCCTTGTGATCTTTGAGCCGTTGCACATTCAGCAAAGAACGGGAGAAAGCCCCAGGGCCAGAGAAGTACCTGGATTTTGTCTTACAAAATTTCATGCAGTTGTTGCTAAGACAGGAGAGTCCAAATGTTCCTCAGGAAGGCTGCAGCGGACTGCCAAAATAATTAACTCCATGAGATTAATTTGGGGACGGCAGTTTTGTCAGAGTGCTGGTGGATGTGGTTCGGCTGGGAGCAGCCACTGCCTTGGGGATGCTGTTGAGGGTGAGGATTGGGGAATGAAGGGCTCAGAAACACCACAGGTGATTTTTGCTTTCACACTTTTTCTTCTTCAAGTTTTTCAAGATGTTTTTCTCCATTGCAAGGTTTGCTTTGTCCCCTGGGGCTTATGCTGCAGGTCCCTGTTGTGTGGAGGTCCTGGGAGCAGAGGCTCTCCCAGGTGTTGGTGCATTCATTAGGGCAGAGCGTGCCCTTCTCCAGTTTGGGCAGGCACCAGAGCTGCTCTTTAAATCCCATGTGTTTCCTAGGTGTGATGCAGAGCAGCCCCAGGAACACCACTGGTTGTATTTCTGAGTATGAGTTGTTACTCAGTGCAGATATTGTATCAGTGAAGATATTATACATCTTATTTTAAAATACCCTTATTAGTAAAATGGGTGTTTCATTTGTACAGGGAGCAGATTCCTCTGAGCTAAGCTTAAGCTCAATCTGTGTTACTAATAGCTGGGGAAAAAAACATACTAATTGGTATTTCTTAACTGATGTTTGCAAATTTTGCCTTTCCACCCTGAACATCAAATAGTTTTAATATGTGTTTTTCCTTATCTCAGAGGAAAGATTAATGCTAACAAGAGGTTCTACATTTTATTAAGGTTTAATCAGGATGCAGTGAGTGAAGACAGAGAGTAAATAGTTCAGAAATTCAGAGAGTGTTATATTTTGATAATGCAAAGTAGGTTAAAGTATCTGGATTTTGTGCTCAGTACAATGTTTTCAGGCAGCATGTGGATTTGGATGGTGACACATTTTGGTATTTAGAAGGAACATAAGCTCTCCTGTCGGAGGAGCACGTTGCAAATGTGAAATAAGCATTTGTCTCTAAAAACCTTTCTTAATATTGTAAGTTTTGGTTTTATTTAAAGCCAAATAGAGTCTGCTGTGTGATAGTTTGATACATAGACATGCTTCTGTAATGCTCCCCCCAGCTCCAGCATTTATAACCACCTTTTACTTTCAAAGGAAAATGATAAGCTTTGATATGATTCTAACTGAGTGAAGTTTTAAAACATGTTTTTGTCTTTCAGTCTCCTGAGAACATTTTTTCTGAGTGACTCCTGCTTCCAGACACATTTGCCATGAGAAGGGTTCCAATCCTTTCCTGTATTTGCCCTGAGTCATGAATGGATATGTGTGATGCCTGCAAGTAAAACTGGTGAGTTGTCAAGCCTGAGTTTGCAATAACTCTCACTTATCCTTTCTTACAAATTATCTTTCCCTCATTTTTTTTCTCCCCTTTTTAATATGGTGGGAGGGAGTTGTACTGTCTGTGTTTACAGGCAAGTCACCACTATTCTTACAAAAACCCAAAGCAACCTTCATTGTCATGAAATAGCAGAAATATCAAATATTACCTATATAAAAAAAAACTACTCCTTTCCTTTGTTTCTTCTCTTCATCCCCCCACATTCTATGAACTGCAAGGGCTTTGGTGGGGAAACTGGAGTTCAGTCCTGCAGGCAAAGCTACTGCCCAAAACTGAACCTTGCAGACAGACAGGATCTAAACCAAGCTTATGCGGGCAATTCATGTCGTGATGAAATATGGATATGGAGAGGTCTCATGGTGGATTCTCAAAGGAGCCATTGCCAGCAGATAATGAGCTCCAGCATTTGCTGCACTTGCATCCCAGTGACAAAATGGTGTCACTGGTACACAGGAGAGCTGTCCTGCGGTGTGTGCTTCACCTTGGTGCTGCTGCCCAGCCTGGGGGACACGGGCACAGAGCCTTCAAGCCTGTTTGGATCAAGCTCAAGAGGATGCTGGAGTGAGACCTCTTCTCTGTTAAGGGCCAGTTACCTTTCCTGGTGGGGTTACCCCCCCGAGAAGCCCCCATGTCCTTTTTGTGCCATGCAGGGGGTGGCTGTGCCTTTTCCAGCTGTCCCCATCCCCCAGGAACCTGGCATGGGGAGCTTTCCGTGCCCACTCCTCTGACCTGCCTCCTCCTGATTGCCTCTCTTCATAACTGGGGGGGAGAGGAGGGGCAATATTAGTTTGGGAAGACAAGAATCATCTCATTCTGCAGCAAAACTGTGAAGTCTGTGTAAGAAATCTTTCAAACCCCGGAAATCTGCATAATTAAATTGTGTAGGAATTGGGAGCATAAATTGTTTTTTTAAATAAATTCAGGTTTCTATTATATATTTAATATCCCTCTGTGTGTTGGAAAGTGCATTTCAATTCAAAGATTATAAAACCCGAGAAATTCATACATTAGTGAATTGTGATTTTTTTTTTCTAGGTTTCTTTTTTTTTTTTTTTTTTTCCAGAGGTAGCATAATTACCATGTCATTTAGCAAAGATTATAATAGCTGTTCAGTTTTTACTGACTGGTATAGTAAACAGTTGAATAAACCCATATGGCAGCTCAAAGTGTGCATAGAGGAGAGGGATTCTTACCATTTCCTTCATGTCTGAGTTACCAGCCTCACTGATACGACCGAGATCCCCAAACAGGGACAAATTCCAGACTTCTCCAGTCATGCAAAAATTTCTCACTGCTCTGCCGCATAGGAATCAATTGATTTTAATCACGCTGGTTAGGTAATTAATTATTTCTTTGTGCCTATAAAGTATGCATGGGAAATGTGGGGTTATATGCAAGGTACATGCCTCGATTTAAAGCACTCTGTGCATTTGCTTAATGCCTCTTTAGTAAATGTAAATAATGCCTGGGGTCAGAAGCTCAATATCCAGGTATAGTTATAAGATAGAGGCCCTTCTAAGGCTGGCATGGGTGAAGTGTGCCATCTCTGGGTGCTGTGACAGCCCCGTGGCACTGCTTGTAATGGCACTTTGTGTCTGGTCTCAGGGGGGCAGACGGAAGGACCTGAGTGTTTAAAAGCATGCACTTGAAATACCAGGCTGGATTATGGAGGTGTGGAGCTGTGGCGAGCCAGCATCTGGAGTAAAGACAAAGTGTTGAAGTAACGTGCCCTCTGGATACCTTCACTATTAAAAAATAAAAGCACTGAGAAGAAGGATTGTTAACTCCCTCCAAATGCTGGCTTGAACAAAGAAAAAGACTCTCGCTACTCGTCCTAAAATTCACTTACTTCCAGTTATCTTAAAATTTTCATGTCACTTAATAGCTTTAAAATACCTTCTGAATGCATTAGACTCTCTAGGTGCCTAGGAAATATTGCCGAATAATAATAGGAAATGACCAAGCATTGAGCAGTCCCACTGGAAAGGAGCAGTTGGCCCAAACTGGTGCTTGTGTTCATCTTAACCCTGATGTACGACCAGCCCTCCACCATAATTCTATCAAGAGATGGTAAGTTGCCTAGCAATGTGCTGACTGCAGAGGGTACGTGTCGAGCTAATTCAGTTTTTGTTCTCGTTTTCCTTGAGAGTTCAGCTTAAAGGAGTGATCCGTTCTCCAGCTGCAGCAAGAGCCACTTCTCGGCCGTCTCTCTTGTTCCCCACTCGAGTGTCCCTGGTGATGTCAGGAATTCATTCACCGCCTTAAAGGTTTCCAGCTTATTGAGTAGCCAAATGTGGTTTCTGCTGATTGTGTTGACTGAATACGTAGGGCCTTTGGAAGAGGCAAGGGTTTTATTTAAAGCACAGAGTTTAGTTGTATACCATTTTATGGCAGGCAAAGGTCATCTGGGGTGAGCAGCCAGAACAGCAAATTGCCTCGTTGCAACACCTCGGAAAATGAGAAAGATACAGTAAAAGGTTTTAACAAATTGCTCGTAGTTATGAATTTTTAAAGTCGAGGAGCTGGTGCTGTGTACGTTTTTAAATTGGAGATAACCATGCTTGTAGGATAAATTGAGTTAAGAATGGAGCAAATCAAAATAATGGGGTGGTACTAAAAGCCTGGTGGTGCTGAACACCGACGGCACGTCGGGGACCTGCTGTGTCCCTGCCCTTCCCATGTGGATTGTGGGGATCTTCCTAACAGTGCCCCTCTCCTGCTTCAGTCCTCCCTTCTGCCTCCTGGTTACAAAAAGGGCTGGATTTGCCCTGTGGTGCTTCGTGTGGTACCCAGGGAGGAAGAGCCAGAGGGGTTTGTCCGTGGGTTCCCCCGGGATGTGCTAACCCAGGTGGGTGTCAGTGGGGTGGGTGAGCTCCAGGAGCCCAGCCTGGCATCCCCTGGCAGAGTTGCTCAGAGGGAGAGGTGGCGGCAGCCCCGAGATGTCACTTGTGTGAGATCTCCCTTGCTCCTTGTGGCATCAGTGGCTCCAGAAATACTTGGTTTTTCTGAAACTTTTCTGTCCGTGGAACTTTCTCTGTGGCAGGGGGAGGAGAGAAGAAGTAATTTTAACAATTTAATAAAGTACATAATGTAAGTTTTATAAGCTGGTGTGAATGCTCCTAAGTATTTTGGTCTTTTTTCATAACACAATGAACCTAATATTGGTAAAAATACAGATCTTAGCTGCCACCATAAAGAGAGGCTAGATTTAATAAACAGTTATGAATGTTGGCAGCTGCCTATCAGATTGTATAACATCGGCTACAGCACATGAAGACAGTGTCAACTTACATTTTATCTCAGAAGTATTTTCAAAGCATTTATTTTGCTTTCTCTTGAGTCCTTAACCTAATTCAAGTTATATAATTGGCGGAATATTTTTCCACACCGCTAATTGGCTGGGTGCCAGCGTGGAAACCATTGTATGACTTGATGATGATCAGGAATTAACATGACATTTGCGTGGTGGTAATGGAATACATTAGTAATGTAATTCATGACTGTAAGAAAGAGACCATCATCTCCCACCTCTGATCAGCAGGAGGGGCTGGGAGGATGATGAAATGCTCCCAGCAGGCACCTCACAGCAGTGGCTGGCCAATCTCGATGTCAAATTTAGTTTTAAATTCTTCAGACAAAGCTGTAATGCTTACCAATTAATTACTACAAATGTCAATTAAAAATCTACCAAATAATGCAGTAAGATTAAATTTCAATTAAAAAAATTACATTTAACAAGGAAGATACAACATTATTTTAATGAATTCTGCTGAAGGTGACAGTTTATCTAGATATATTTATATCGTGTAGGTGGATCTAAATTCATTGGATGATGTTAACCATGTTACTCAGTGTACATATTAGTTTTGAAAATTATTTCGACTTTGGCTATGTCCTGGAGGAGCTGGGGCATCGGGGCATTTCTCATCACCAGGAGAAGAGGGAATTTCACGCCTTCTCTGTAAAAAAATCTTCTCACACCTAAAAGGAGGGCTTTAGTGCAGAATTCTATCCTGACCAAATTTGTGGTATTTTTCCTTGCTTTATATTTAGAAAAACAAATGGAGCATTTTTGTTGTGGCAATAAAGCAAGCCTGGCTTTTCTGCATCTATAATGATTTCTTGGGACAGTTTTTCAAGTAATCTGTTTTTTCATACAAACAGTACCTATTATTCCAATAAATCACGTAACAGGAAAAGATCTTGCTTTGGGAAGGTGGTAAAGTCTTGAGCAGAGCTTTTATCTGCAAGGCTGTGCCCTGGCTCGGTAGAGGTTGTGAATGCATGATTAAAATTGCCTCGTTGGTACTCGAGATGCTTGGAGGGATATTTTGAACCAGGAGTGGCACAGCAGAGATGTTGTGGGGCGTGTGAAGTTGTGAGTTTGCAGGTGTGTGTACGACATGCTCTTGTAAAGCACCTGTACCTCTCTGGATGCAGAGTGCTGACAGAGCAAAGTGGGGCTTGCAGCTGGAGTTTTGTGTGGCAGCAGCTTTGTTTTTATTGCTCAGGGCAGTTTTTAGGCTGTTGGAGATTGAGGTGCTTTGGGTAGGCGTGAGTGCCTGCAGTCACCAACATGGCACGGGGGCAGAGCTGGGCTGTGCAAGTGGCTATCTTGGTATTAAAGTATTTATGAGGTCTGAAAAATACTTTATCATCTTCCTTTAACTTCTTTTCTGAGAGCTTTTATTATGTTTTCACACCGTCATGTCTAGGTAAGAAGGAAGACATAATTGAAGAAGCAGATTTTATGTGTCAAGCCAGCATGGAAAGAAGTCCCTCTCAGGGACCAGAGGCTCCTTTTCCTTGGCACTGTTGTGTCTGGAGCTATCAAATTTCAGCAGGTTTTAACTTAAAATAAAATATAGAAAAATACAATGTGCATGCAGAAAATCAGAGAAGCCAAACAACTGCTCATGGCAGGTTAAAGTAGTGATATTCTCTTGAGT